AAAATTTATTTGACACAGAAATCCTTCAGTAATGACTGATTTACAAAGATGTTGTGTATAATAAGAACTATAGTAAAAAATAGTCTAAATAAATAAATAAAGTATTCTAATAAAGTATTAAAACTATGAATAAATATMGAAACATATGTAAATAACTAGTATTCTAATAAAGTATTGAAACTATGAATATATAGAAACATTTATTGTAAAATTACTACTTTACAAATGGTTAAAACTGAATTTAAAACTAACTATAACACGACAAAGCTTAATAGCCCCAGTACCTAGATTTAAATTTCTTTAAAGATGGAGCCTGACTTACTATGAATATTTATAGGATGAATATTACCCTTATTGCGGGTAATAAATTGACCGTTTAATTCGATTGGTTTACATTTTTTGCATAATCATCTGTTTCAGGTTCACTGATTTTACAATCAACAGTTGAAATTTGAATACTTTACCGTATACATCAGAGGGTCTTGCTAAATTGCCCATTTTTTTCAAAATGTTAATCACAGACAAATAAACTGTTCCACRTACAATGTATAAACAAGCTTGATTGTTTTTCTTTCGAAAAAAGAATGGCTTGAATTTATACAGGAAGTCAGAATAATTGGAGCATGTGCATATCTGATGACCTAGGATCTGGGTCTTTCRGCTTGTGTGTTAACAGAGCCTTTGAYWTTTTGGTGAGAAGKGTCTGGGCACAAGAAAGGCGACCCATCAAATCTAATTAGTGTATGATAATGAAAAAAACATGGCGTGCTTTATGGACTAACGCAATGCGTTAAGAAATTTATGTATACTTKTAATGACTACCTATGGGTCAAATGTTGCATCATCGTTTCAATTCTTTGATGAAATTATCATGAAATGGTAGCTCTTTGTTCGCAGATAAAYAACTGAAAKTAGGACTGCCTGATCAACTACAGTACAACAATATTATTCTTTGTGCACAGCCTTCCCCGAGATCACCTGGACAGAGACTTGAGACTTGAATGCATTACAACTGCACCAGAGCCCTTTGTGAATAATTTATTCAATGATTTTATTTTTCATTTCTTTCATTACTCTAGACATTCACATTAGAAAGAATAGGATCAACAAGTCAGATGAAAAAAATCAGGTAAAACAAAATACTTGAGTTAATTATTTATGAGCCACTCTAATCCCCAACTGCTACCTTAGTTTATATCCAACCTTATTGATGGTTTTCACAGCCGCCATCTTGGATGAATTAGATTCGTCATTATTCTCTTTTGTTATATYATCCAAAGTGGCCGCCATGTCTGTTATTTCATTTTATTGGGAATGATTGAAAACCAGCAATAACCCTGCCCATTCAATGGACTGTAACAGTACTTTGACAGTACAAAAGCCATCGCATCACAAGCCATTATTGGGCATCCAGGAGGCAAAACAAAATAAAGACGTTCAATAATACAGTTTAGTAAAAATACACAGGTGATATACTCAGGTTATCACACGATAATCACCTCCAGCGATAATCCAAAATGGCGGCCAGCCGCTTTGTTGCTGTTACCGGAAAAAATGTGTCTTTTRTCTTCTTCTTCTTTTTGTTGTTGAAAGAATCRCCTGTGTATTTATACTAAAACGATTATTTGCCTCAGCTTCAGTGARTATCAGAGAATATTTACCTTGCTGCTTGAAGACGGTAAATATTCCCCGATATTCACTTCACMTTCAGGGAATAATAATTGTTCACTATAGAGTTTTGTGTGTTTGTCTTTCTTTCGTGTATAAAGGTGATCACTGTGCAGTCTTTGGCTGTTTAATAATGATTGACAATATCATCTTCACATTTAGCTTTATATTTGCCTTCTGGACGCCCCATTATATCTTACGACCAAAGATGACCACCGTCACTGAAGTAATCTATTGTGGTATTCCCTTGACAGGACTTTTACCTCTAACAAGTTTCTGTTTTTCCTAATCAAATTTCATAGATCTGCAAATCCAGTGAAGTTAAACAAGGCACAAGCCTCCAGTAGTACCAGTATTCTACCCGAAACCAAAACAACCAAAAAAATTAAATCAAATTCAACTAAAACTAAAAAACATCATCAACAAGAACCATCTTTATCTTCATCACAAGTACAGGTAATGTTCGTAGAAAAGAGAGTGAGCAATTTATCAGAAAAAATTCATTCAAGATTTTACATTCCCATATTTATATCCATGTGTTAATTTCCCTATTTCACTATGACATCACTGCTTGTTTATGTGGGGGATAGAATCGCCAAATCCAATAGAAAATTCAACAAAATTTGCTCCTAGTGAAACAGTTTAATCTAAAATGGCCTGGTTTTCAGATATAATATGTGTTAATATGTACTAAAAAATGTTCTGAGCGTTTGGTAGCTATTCTACTTCTCTTCGTGGATTGATACGGGTTTTAGAACAATTTTCAGTGAATTTGCGTTGATTTGACCCCCTCCTACGACCATGATCCTTTGCATTTAAACAATAGATTGTTTTGATGTGACGTCATAGTGAAATAGGGCAATTAAAGATCTATAATTTTTTTCTACAGGAATCTTTAACAATACAAAAGACTGAACCTACAGAGAATACAGAATTATTAGAATCAGCAGATTCATCCTCATCTAGTGACAGCTCTTCTTCTGACTCAGAAAATGAAGACAAGAATGACGATGATGATGATGATGACAACGATGATGATGATGAYGATGACGATGAGGAGGACGATGGTGATGATGATAAAATTGATGACAAACATGTGGAACAACTTAACAGCATTCTCAATTGTGTATGTAATATTAATAATAATATTAATATTAATGTWATATTCACAGAGATAGAACACCCTATTTTCCATGGTTTTCAATGTTGTTATTTGTTTTCTTTTAACTATTTCACTTACTTCAAGATCTCCATAGAACTCCATAGAGTTGGTATTAAACGATCACACCACTTAATCATGTATATKACGTGTGTTTTTGAGTGAAAGTGAGCCAAATTGGAAATGAAAAGCCACAATTTCATGCTGTTTAAGATAAACAGTCCCTTATAACTATTGGAGCTACTCTATATCACTTTGATGTCACATGAAAACAATCTTGTTTTTAACGTTAAGAATTTCATGGTCGTGGGAAGGGGACAAAACAGCAACAACTCGAAAAAAACTGCTGAAAATTGTATTTTCTTAAGACTTCAAAAACTAATGATAGCCACCAAAAACTACATGTTGTAGAATAAACACCAGTTTATAAAATGTTTGAAAACCTCACATATCACTTAGAGCTGTCAGTTGAACTGCAAAGTAAAATTAGTCCAAATTATCACTATTCTTCAACATTCTGATTCACTTTGAAACAAGCTGTAAAGTCATAGTGATATAGGGCAATTGGTCTGTTGTTAATACACTGAAAAAAACTATCTGTTAATCTTGTTTTTCCATTAATGTATTGTTGCATAGCTGAGTTTATGAACTCCAAATGTTTTTTTACCCAGCAGCTTGACTCAGAACCAAAGCCAACAGAATTTAATCAACTTTGTAAGTACAGTTGAGCTGGATGTTATTTCATTGATAAAGCCATACTGTTGATGTGATGATGATAATAATAATAATAATAATAATAATAATAATAATGATGGGATTGATGTGACTATGGTCAGGATGATTTTTGATGGTGTCAACACTGTAATAGTGATGTTGGTCATTGCACAATGCCTTATGCTGCTTATGCTGATAATGGTGAAAGTGATGATATTGATTTTGCTGATGATGGTGAAGATGATAATGATGCCGCCATTGTTGATTTTGGTGATGACATTGAAGATAATGTTGCTGATAACATAATTAATCAAATAATCAGGATGACTTTTTAAAAAAAGATGATGATAGGGCCATGATGGCTGTCATTGCATTGCATTCCATTTTGCTGCTGCTGATTTTATCAATGATGGTGATGATGATGATGATGATATTGATAGTAGCTGATGATAGTGTTGTTGATGATGATGATGATATTGATAGTCGATGATGACAGTGTTGATGATGATGATGATGATAGTGAATGATGATAATGGATGATGACAGTGTTGATGTTGGGGATGATGATGATGATATTGATAGTGGATGATGATAGTGTTGAGGATGATGATGATGATATTGATAGTGGATGATGATAGTGTTGATGTTGAGGATGATGATGATGATATTGATAGTGGATGATGATAGTGGATGATGATAGTGTTGGTGATGATGATATTGATAGTGGATGATGATAGTGTTGGTGATGATGATGATAGTGAATGATGATAGTGTTGATGTTGAGGATGATGATGATGATATTGATAGTGGATGATGATAGTGTTGATGTTGAGGATGATGATGATGATATTGATAGTGGATGATGATGATGATGATATTGATTTTACTGGTGATAGTTAGGATAATGATGATGATGATGATGATATTGATTTGTTTCTGATGATGGTGAGGATGACAATTAATGATTGAGGAAATAATCATGATAAATTTTGATAGTGTTGATGATAGCAATGATGGTGGTCATTGCTTTCATTATCTTATGATGCTTATGCATCTATCAATGATGCTTATGCATCTATCAATGATGCTGATTATTGTGAGATATGATCCGGATGATTTTTGTGTGGTGATGATCATGATGATGTTTATCATTGCATTAGATATTTCAATTCTGTTGCTGGTAGTTATAATGTCGATGCTGATCAGAGTTTTGATTTTGTCCCCAGCACAAGACTTACATTTAAGTGAATCAGGGAGTGATAGCGACTAGTCTCTRTGGTAACAGAGTTATATCAATTGATAAAAACCAATGCAAATGAATTTATTCCAAATAATTTAAATAAGCTATGATCTATATCTCGAGATCCCCAGTATGACGGTCTGGGAGGTGTGATAGTGCTATTATATGATGGTGTTGAATAGAATAGCCACTTCTCTCAGCAACCCTCGCTTTTTCCTTCATGGGAATCCTGTGTTGTAAAAGTCTTAAAGAAGAGGAGAGCTGAAAAAAAAATTCTTGTACCTAGTGTCTCTCATCACTTTTAATACACAGGGATCCCAAGTCCAATCCCTGATATATAAGGAGCTGCAAAAAGGAAAAGTTAGTGAGAGTTGTCTAAGGATGAAAGTAGATAAATAATAGTGCTAGATATGTTATATATGGCTCAGTGCTAAAGATTACGACAATACTTTCTATTGCTGGCAGATTGAAGTATTGTCCTGGACAATGAACAACGGTTCTGCCGTAACACCACACATCTGAAATTAGTTGTGTGGAGAAAATGAGATTGAGAAAAGACCACATGTTAATGATGTAACAGCGATACTTCTACTACATCGGTTCTCGTAGGACTGAAAACTGTGCACAAAAGTTCAAAAGAAAAAATCCAAAATTATTTTGAAAGTCAAACGACAAYTAAAACCTTGCACACTATTTCAGATAACAAGTGCTTGAACTAATAAATATTCGAATGTTCTTCCAGTTTCTGTACTGATTTCGAATTCTGCATTTATGTTTTGGAAAACAAAACAGTTCGGAGAATCAAGACGTCACAATTTTAAAATTTCGGGTGCCGTTGCGCTATAATTAGACTAAGACTCGTATTGGTCCGTCTTTCCCTTTTTCTTTGGGCTTCTCTCCGCGAAATTCAGCGTGCTAAATTACGTTTCAATCCTTTAGTTACCCTGCAAACAGGGTTATCTCCCCCTCCCTCCCTCCCTCCCTCCCTCAGTAGATATGAGCGAGAGGCCGTTGTACAGGTCACCCACCCAATAGCCCACTTCCAAGATATGCTTCGCTTGTCAATTATTCAAGTATTCAAGGTGAGGCTTCGTGCATAAAGCTCAGTGATTCGTGACAGGAATAAAAAATATATTTAACTTAGCACGTTTCCTTGTACCTCATATCTCGGAAGTGGGCTATTATGRAAACGTCGCTCAATATTTGTTTGACGGGGAGACTAATTAAAAATACTAAAAATTGATTTCGGTCCCACAATTCCATTAAAAAAAATTGGTTAAAAATATTCCTTGTAAGGAAAACATTTAGTACAACTAGTAGATGAATATTGTCTTAAGGCTTGAGAGGGAATTGACTTCATCTATTTATTCAGGTTTAGTTCAACCGGCTTCCATTGATGTCTGTGTTTTTTTCTCTTTTTTTTTTTCCGGGTTTGAGCGATGATCCTGGACTTCTGCTTTCAAATTGAAATTGAAGAGTACACATTGAGTGTTTAATGAGTTTGTTATTATTAATACCACTATAAAAATACTAATTCCCTTCCTGTTTCCAAATATCAAAGAAAAAACCTGATCACCCCCCGTTTCTGGTTGGAATTTTTATTGAAAAAAGTAAAGAGTGTATGTAGATAGATGGAAAAGGGTAGCAAAATTACTTTTATTTGTTTTGGAGGAAAATTTCTATGCATTCGAGATAAAACGGCTATATTTTTCTATATTAATTCTTTTTTCCTTTTTTTTTATTTTTTTCTTTCTCTTTCTTCTTTTCGTTTGGTATTTTAAATTTTTCTAGTAATTCAGAAAACTTTTAAATGCAAAACGAAAAGAAGAAAAAAAACGCTTATGCTTCAGTTTTTTTTTCAGTCTTAACTATTAAGACTGAAAAAAAAACCACAGTGATAGTAACCATACAAACTGTCTTTATCAGTCTAGTCTAAAAGTTATTTCATTTGTTTTGAACATAAGCGTAATTATTAGCGTTACTTATGAGACAAGCTGCCCCTTTTTCGATTCAGGGTATTAATATTTAAACTTCCTTGATCGACACGTCAAAACAAAATTAATTATAAAAAATAATATAGGTAAAATGTAAATAGACATAGCTAAAGTCCAGCTTTCATTCTCATTCTTTTAATAACATTTCTCAATAGTCATTATTATTAGTTTTTAAAAATTTATTTTGAATAAATTCAACATTTTAGCTTAGAAAGAAAAGGGTTTCTCGGAAGTCCTCGGCAGAATTTATTATTAGCAATATTATTTCAAAGACATCCATCGTCAGAAGGAGACAATATTTTTTTTCCAATTCGAAAAATTCGGCTTCGTTAGTCAATCTATTCAATTTGAATATTTCATTGATAGATTATATTAAAGGTCGGCGTTAATGTATTCACTTTTCTACTGAATATCACACTTATTATAAGACCCTATCACTCCTTTGCAAGCTGTTAAGTATGCGAATACTCTTGCATGTCTATTCAATTCAAAATTTAATTTGCCTACTGCTTTGAATTAGAAATACCAAAAAATGTGGCGATTTTTAAGAATTGATTTTAGAGTTTTATATTTTTCATTAAAATTCTTGCTATAAATGGGGTCACTATTTTACGAAACAAAGGTTTCCAATGGACTTCGAAGTCAAAGTACTCTCCATCTGTTCAAAACGTAAGCTTCGCTTGTATTTTTTTTCAATCAGGATAATAATCTTTTGCCCTCCAAAAAAACTTTCTGCCATTAATATTCGTAGCTTCAACCTTTCATTTCTTGTTTCATTCCACTGAATACATTTTTATCGTGTTTCAATAAATCTCAACGAAGTTTTTCTTAGCGATACATAAGTACCGACAGTGACTTCGAAGAATGCTGAAGTAGAGATTCCATGTGCAGTATTTTGAAGTTTAAAGTAGCGTATAGCTAGTCAAGTCGTTATCCAAACAGCTATCACTATCAACACGACCAAATAGTTGCCATAGTAGAGTGCAGTAAAGAATATAATCAAAGTTATGACAATTGCAACCGAAGCTGCATACACTTGTTTTTTAGACTTTTTCTTGATGAAGTTTTCAAAGGCATCAATAGCATTGTGAGCGTCCTGTGATGACAATTTGAATCTCGCTCGTATGCCGGATTTTTTCGTATTCTTGATAGCTTTTTTACCGCCACTTTGCTGAACATGTGAATTCATCACAAGAAACTTCGATGACGATAATGACTCTTCAGTTCCTTGTCTCGGTAAACTAGCTTTTGGTAATTCATTAAGTCCTACACTGCATATCCAATGTGTTCCGATAGATCCAACGTTCAGCCGGTTCACAACTCCAAAATAAATTCGCTAATCAACGTTGCAGTGGTGTGATCCAGCGAAATACTCCGAACAAACGTCTGAAAAATAAATAATCATCTATTGTCGGGGTTTATTTTTATGTAAATATTACTATTGAATTTCAATTACAATACTTCAACGTAAATTCACGTCACACGCTATTAATATAACTCGAATATTTTATCAATCCTCTGACTATTAATGTATTAAATACGTCCAAGAGAATATGAATTAAGCTTACTTAACATTCTCTTGATACGTCTTAATCACTAGTTATACTAAATTTGGTCGATTTCTTTTCCATAAAGTGAAAACGATTTCTTGATTTCAAATACTTTAGATTCGACCATGTCGAAGTATTAACATAGCGCATATTATGCATAGTTTTTGTGCTTCAATAGCCTTGACTCCTAAAATATAAAGTCTTATTGAGGCTTCGTGTTTCAAAAAAAAATTCTTGTCCACACTTAGCGTCTTCGTGTCGTGTGTTCAGTCGCTTCCGATTTCCAAAAGTTGCGTTTTCATGGCAAAGAAAAGAAGAAGAAAAAACCGTTTTCAGAAATATCCGGATAAGTGTGGACGGCGCCTTTAGTAGCCCAGGCTGATAGTTTATCCATTGCCTCGGGCAAAATATGTAGACTTATGTTCGTAATGTAGTCTTAATAGTTTATTATCAGCTATTTGAGGTACTAGATGGTGTGTTACGCATCACGATAACTACATGGTAAATAACAGTGCTAATCGAAGTATTATGATCATCCGGGTGGATGTAGCCCTGTAGTCCTTTTCCGAACAGCAATTTGATGTTCTTTACGTCTGATATTAAACGATCTACCCGTCTCGCCAAGCACCTCATGAAGCAACATATATTGGTGAGACGGGTAGATCGTTTAATATCAGGATGAACAGTAGATAAACTGGGAATCCAGTGAATGCCTTTCTTTTGGCAACAATAGCCAGCAACGACTTGTACTGGAGAGTTGGTTTACCAAGTTTGAGCATCATCCACTAAACCGCTCCGTACAATAGGCTTATTAGAAACAATAAATCCGCCCACAACACCGAAACAGCGACTCGCACTCATTAGACTAACGCCGCCAATAACGCAAATCCAGGTAATTAGTATATGTAATAGGACTCCATGCTGTCCAATTAAGAAATAATTGGACGAGGAAAATTCCGAGGACTGACAAAATTGCCTGAGGCCGTAGGCCGAGTCCAATTTGGCAGTCAGAGGAATTTTTCGAGTCTAATTATTTCTTGATTGGGGAGCATAAAATCCCATTACCAATTAATTATATAGCAGCCTAATTAATCCCATATCAACAAGACCTGTCCAATTAAAATATGACCAATCTGACTTTATTCTTCACTTGACTCTGAAGATGACTTACGCTCAGGTTGTCGAAAAGTCAGTCGCATCAAACAGTCCTTCTCAGGACTACATCCACCCGAATGATCATAATACTTCGATTAACATTCAATCACCTGGGTTCAGACCGTTCTATACGAATAACAGTGCATTTGCCCAGTTTAGCCAATGAAAACGGCTACAAAAACGMCCCCAGTTCTGTATCATGACCTATCGTAGCATAGTTAATAAAACGAAACTCGCTAGAACTCTAAAGCCGTTGTTATCATTCACTCGCATCCGACTATAGACATCGAGTAAGCACATAATCTTTCTTTGGTAGGCGTTAATAAGGTAGCCTGCGTGAAGCCGGACTTTTCTCTCGTTACAGTTAACAGTTAGTTCGGCTGCACTCGGGCTATAATAAGGAGGCACATTTCATTATTTTTAACACGTGGTTATTATTGTTAACTTGTGAGTTATTGTAGCTTATTAGCAGCDGCATAAGTTGCTTGATATACTGCGCAGATCAGCTGTATAGTTTATTAGTCAAATCTCTGGTCGAATTTCTGGTCAAATACAGAAAACGTACTTAAAATTTCTATAACAGTACTGGTTCTAACCGTTGTTCTTCATGTGACAAGAAGACATGATAAAAGTGTTTTTAAAACGATTGCTACCTAATCTACGAATTGCGTATCGCAATCTTCTTTAAGGAATACGGACGGAACATGGTTTATAGCAGGCAATAACTTGTTCAGCCTATTGTCCTTATTGCTAACGACAGAGTTAAATCATTGCTAGAAATAGCTTCACTATGAAGAAAAATAGTGGGTATGCTTATTTTATTTATTCCATCATGATAAGATAGAGGCAGGTGATTGACAAAGTCATTTTCTGAACACGTTCTAGTTCGCACTGCAAGTACGCGGGTAGTGCGTATACTCAGCACCATTAAGGCATGGCTCTTTTGAGGAAGTGATGGAAAATCAGTTATTTATTCATATCTTTGACAGTTTACTA